CACTATGAGTCAGAACCAATCTGATGGCAAGAATTTGGTTTTACACTCAACTATATAGAACCTACTACTATGTGCCCAGCACCTAGTGGAGAGAAAAAAGTCTGAGACACAGGTCCTTCTCCCTTTTTTAAACTCTAAGAGATAAAACTTCTATGTCCAATGATTCAATGTGGCAAAAAAATGAAATACTTGTAAATGTGATATAGATTATTAGCAGTACAAAATGTGAAAAAAAAGAAAAAAGAATCAAAACTCACTGGTTTATTTAAAGAATAATTCCCAGAGAATAAGATCTTGGTTTTCAAGGCTATGATCAAGTTTCCAAACTATAGTGATTATTTCAGTAATAGAACCATTTACATGTTTTAGGTGCTTAGGGATTATTTTAGAACTGCATGTTAGCAGTTTTGAGTGAGATACAATATTTCCCATAACAGTTTTCCATTTGTTGCGAGAATAAATTAGATCACCACAAAATTAAAAAGGAAAGAACAGATTATGCATCTGTACATTTTTTTCCAATACACCTTCCACCCAAGGAAAGCCCCCATCCCTAGCAGTCCCTCCTATGTACAGCTATTTTTCTCTTACTTGAGCCTCTATCTCAGCCCAGAACTGAGGGCTTTGTTCACACACCCTCTGATAGGTCCACACTGTTATTCATTCTTTCTGCAGAAACACAACTATTTCTGTTCCCTCACTCACTCTCCTAGAATCTCCTCTCCTGTATCATCTCCTAGGGCTGCTACATTCACTCTTACCAAGAAATATTTTTTCTCTATTCCAGGCAGAAGCGGAAGCTTTATGCAATCACTAACGTAACAGTGAGTAAAAAAGTCCTGATGGGAGAAGACTAAACACATTTTCCCATACGGGGGGAATCTGAGGTGACTGGAGCTCAGCTCCAACCACTCTCAAAAAAAAAAGGGAAAAAGAAGGATATTCTGGACTTAGGCAGATGACCACTCCTTATGGGGTAGTCATCTGAGGAAAGTATAGAGCAGGAAATAAGTACAATATGTGTGGAAGACACACTATGACTGGAGTAAAGAAATAAAGGACAATGATATCATGATGGCATTCAGCAAAAGTGAAGGGAATTCACCCATATTAGTCACTGATTGAGGGAAAAGGGAAGTTGTAGATTCAGGAAAGTGGAAGAGAATCAAATGGGCATCTATGGTATAGTGGAAATAACATAGGCTTTGGGGTCAGACAGAGGTTGGGTTTGAATTCCAGCTCAGTATCTAGCTAACCAGTTATTCTACTTTTAACAAACTGATTAACCTACCTATATAGAGCCTCAATTTCCTATTAGGTGAAATGAGAAAAACTTACAAGTATGGTCTGAGAATAAAAGATAATATACTTGTGGTGAAATAAGTTCCTTTTTGTGGCCTTTTGCCTTAGTTCTTTGGAAAAACACCTTGAGAGATTTTCCCCCTAAGCCCTGAGGAGTTACCTTTGCCCTAGTTTTCTACCTCAGAGGGTTTACTTTTTTCCAGGTTGATCAACATTTCCTGGGCAAGCTGTAAACTTGGTTTGATACTTTTTGTCTGGCCCTGGGCTGCACCTGCCCTGTGATTGGTGTGAACATTGCAGGGACTGGTCAATAGATTATGCAAATGAGGTGAGTTGTAGCCCAGCTGCACCTACTATGCAAATAAATTGTAGCCTACAGAGAGGAGATTGGTCAGTTTGTGGTCCTGCTGGGAAAGGCCGTGCCTTGAAATTGACAAGCAGCTGTGTATACACATGCAACCAGCCCCATATAGGTTTAGCAAACAGAAAGCAGGAAGAGAAGCAGAAGGAAGAAAGAGAGCGGCAGCAAAGGGCAAGAGGAGGCAAGGAACCTCCTAAAAGAGCCATAACATAGGTTAAGGGCTGAACACTGAAGACAGTGAAAGGCCTAGAAGGGGCCCAGTGGCAAAGCTGGTGGTGACAGACAGCAGGGCCTAGAGGAGCCTGTCCTGAGGGGGCAAGAGGAGCCTATCCTCAGGGGCTGAGAGCTCTGCCTGGTTCTGATTCCTTACTTGTAGTCTGTCAATCCTGACCCTAAGTTGTACCGTTTCTTAATAAACCACTTAGCTGTAATTATGGTGAGTTCTGTGTGGCCATTGCAATGGATTAACCCACAGGAGAAGTAGAGTGCTGTGAGAGGGATGGCTGGTGTCAGAATTGGTAAAAGGTTGGAGAGTGGAGGTATGTCTGACCTCCTCACAGGGATCAGCCTTGGGCTGATTTTGAGTCTCATTATCCCCCATAAAGTTAGACAGTACGATGCGACGGAATGCTTTTATATGGACTTTCTCGCCATGGTCTTGTAACTCCCACCCAAGTGATCGGGTGAGACTGCAAATAAGGTAATTGTGGCCCGCCAAGGGGATTGATCAGTTTTGCCATTCTGCTAGGCTTAAAATGAGCCATCCCAGACATGGAAGGAGAGGATCTCACCACCATCAAGAAA